AGCATGAGATCTTGGTAAAACACATAATAACAACAATAGTTAATATTCATCACTTATGGTAACATCAATATTTTTCAGATGAAGAATCAACTTACTGAACATATCTAGTTATTTAGTCAAGACTTTATATTCACTCATCTTGAATGAATACAAATCTTGCTTCAGGTAAAAGCGATTGATTAATGATTTGCTCATGTACAAACCTCTGAGTTCTGTCCATATACGAGCTGTAGTTTTCTCCTTCGAAACCTGCCAAAAAACCTTATCACAAAGGCTCAATACAATGGAACTATGGGCTTTCTCTATCATCTCCATATTCTCCTTTAGTGTTAGGGCAACATCCATCTTCTCTGATCCTTTCAAAACTTCTAACTAACCCTGTTGAGCAAGAAGGGCTTGCATCTTCAAGAACCATAGACTGAAATTGTTCACTATGATAAATTTTTCAATCTTATACTTTGTTGAGGGAATCTTCTCCTTCATGCTCACCACACATATTTGTTGTAACGAGATCCGTTAAGAACAAACTAAGAACTACAAGAAATATTGAGTTTCTTGAACAAACACAAGAAAAACCCTTCAATCTTTACAGAGAGAGAGAGAGAGAGAGAGAGAGAGAGAGAGAGAGAGAGAGAGAGAGAGAGAGAGAGAGAGAGAGAGAGAGAGAGAGAGAGAGAGAGAGAGAGAGAGAGAGAGAGAGAGAAGAAGAAGAAGAAGAAAATAAGGATTGGTTATAAGTTTTTTACTAATCACTTTCTCAATTAGGATTCAAAGATTACAAGTGAATAATAACAACCAATGCTCTCTCAACAACCTGAGAGAACCAGTCTATTTAAAGACTGCTAAGTTAACTTAAACAACAAGCTAACTAAAGCAAATTTGGGCCAATAGACTGGTCTAATTCGACATGCTAACAACATAGCATATTTCAACACTTGCATGCATTAAGAAACTTCGACTACAACATGTAAAACTTTGACTGCTGTTGAAACAACCCTTTTCGACTTCGATCCAATTACCATACAACCAAATTACCATATGCAAGAAAGTTGTTGATTGTGAAAAATAAAATGGAATACATCTTAAAATATTCACTTGAAGACGCATCATCAATGTCAACGAATTCCTCCCGCAAAAGTCTTAAGTCTTTAGTTAATGGACTTAGATAAACATCTATATCGTTCCTAAGTAGTTTTGATCTCGAAATCATCATAGATAACAACATATATTTATGATTCATGAACAACCAAGGAGATAGGTTGTAAATCGTGAGAAGAACATACTAAGAAGTATGGTTACTATTCATATTACCAAACGGGTTCATTCCATTAGTGGCAAGCTCAAACCTTAGGTTTCTTGGCTCAAGGCCAAAATCCGGAAACAACGAATCATTTTTATTTTATTGAAAAGAATCAGCTACATGGAAAGTTATTCCATCATATTTTTTTCCATATGCATGCCATTTAATATTCTTTGCATCATTCACATTGTCAAACAATCTCTTGAACCTTGGAATTATTGGCAAGTACCATGCCATATCAATAAGACGATGATTCTTGCTAACATTGTCATAATCATCACCATTGTTGTCCTTCACTTTGTAGCGCGACTCATCACATTATGGACATTGATCCAATTTTTCATACTTTTTCCTATATAATATGCAATCATGCGTGTATTTTGATATACTTCAAACCCATTGGACACAATATATTTTCGGCCTTATAACAACGATCCGACAAATTATTATCTTTTGATAGCATTTGTTTAAGTAAATAAAGCAAATATGTGAAACTTTTATCACTCCACCTACTTTTTGCCTTTAAATTAAACAATTTTAATACCACAGACAATCGTGTAAAACTTGTGCACCCCTTATAAAATAGAGCATCGTTATCACTATATAAAGTATCATAAATATGAGTTTTCCTAAAAAAAGATTCTCCAATCTTCATCCACTTCATGTCTTTGTGACGTCGCAATTATTATTATCTACTTCACCATCTCACATCCATATTGTATAATTTTGACAAATTCCATCACAACATAGGTGATGCAATATTTCTTCCTTTAATATTTTTTTGATATTCCCACAACTAACATAAGGACAATAAAAAGTCCATTATTGTTGAGAAGATTTTGTTCCACGTATTCAAAGAATTCAAGAACTTCTTTCTCATATATCAGACCTAATCTATCAGCTTTCATCCAACTACGATCCATAATACATTCTAAAATTTATATAAAAACTTGTAGAATCATTTAACAGTACAACATTTAACAATACATCAATATAATAAGAATGAAACAACTACAACAACAATATAACATTCTCAACAACATAAAAATAATCTCAATATCACTCAATCACAACAACAAATAACATTTAACAACACCAATCGCAACAACATATAAAATTTAACAACCTAAAACTCAACATGAATGACAATGAAGGTGACAAAATAGATAATATACTGTAACTTGAAGAAGAGGAAAAGGTCAAAAAATGATTTTTGTTTGCTATCACTTTCGTCTCTTCAACGTTTCACTCCTTGATTCCAAGAAATAATAGAGCTTGTTATCGCTTTTGTCTATTCATTCGCTATCGCTTTCGTCTGTTCGACACTTGTGTTATCAAGGAAATAAACTAAACCCGTTCTATTTTAATTTTTAAGAAACACATTTCACCACGGTTGAAATGATCAACCATAGTGAAACATATTAATTTTAGAGAAGTATATTACCACAAATGACAAATACAACCGTGGTGAAAGAATTTACACATTTTACTGTAAAACTGAACAAGTAAGTCATTCACCATTTTATTAAATTTAAGTCATTCTGCTTCCAACCTACATATTTTATTATTCAAAAGTAATTATGCATATTTAAAATTTGGTTTAAAGGTTAATGTTAAAATTCTTTTTATTATGTAAACAATAAGTTTGAATCTCAACATTGGTCTTTAATGCTAAAATTTTCAAAGGATATGATAAATGAATGAATATATTGCACACAGTGTGTATCTAAGATTGTAAAAACAATGACTTTCTTTATAAACTTATCTCTATAAAAAATAAACTCTCTTTGAGTTTGTGAACACAACTTTTCACTATGGTTATTAGAAATGACCGTGGTGAAAATTATTTTATTTTCTTATATAATTTTTTGGCCTTCGTTCAATTCTTATATATGATTTTTTGACAATTTAATTGTTTTAATTCTACAACACAGATAACCTAATAAGTTATTAAGACGTTAAGTTTGATCCCATTTTAAAATTATAAATAAATCTATATAATAATTTAATATTTTTATAAATCATTTAAAATTATCTTTTAGAAATTTGTAATAAATAAATTGTAGTTTATTTTAAAATTGTTAATATTATTTTTAATATTTTATTATTTTATTATAATTTTTTAGATTTTAAAATATCACTAAAATTTAATATTATTTTAAGTAATTTTTTATAAACAAGATTATTTGTGAGATATTTTATTTTAAAAAATTATAAAAAATAATTGAAAATAACTTCTTTTATTTAAAAAAAAACTCATAAAATCATTTTTTAAAATATATTTTAAAAAAAACTATAACAAACAAAGTCTTAGTCTAAATTTTTTTAGTAATGATCTTTAAAAAAATGATATTATAAATATTTTAAGATATTTTATATGATCAACTCGATTGTTATGATGTTTTTATAATAAAATATAATGTAGTGTTATATTTGGTTTAATCTATTATTTTTTATAAAAATATTATTTTTTAAAATATATATTATTTATTTTTTTAATATGGTAAAAAAAAATTATTATCTGTCTAAAAATCATATTTTTTAAATTAGAACAGGATTTCCGAAATATTTAAGTTGATTCTGTGTTGAGATTAAAAATCTGTAAGCCTTTAACATATTATCACAATTATTAATATGAACGGTAGTAAAGAGCATGTTGTAGGTCTTTATATGATAATTAGTAATAATTAGAAAGTGTTGCAAGTGTAATTACAACAAAAACAAAATGTCATAAATATTCGTTTATCCTTAGTTAATTGGTTAATGCTTTCTTAATCATATAAATAATTTTTTTTATGTAATCTAATTTAATTTTGATAATACTAAAATTTCTTATGATGGCTTGATCGAGAGACTATGATACATCATTTAAGAAAATGTTGGTCAACAATATGAGGACTTTGTTTTTATTTCATCTTTTTAAGTGTATTTAAGTGTAGTATGTTTGATCAAATGCTTTCAATTTTCTCTTAGAATGTATTTGAATGAAATATTTAATAAGGAAAAATAATTTTTTGAGAGAATTTAAAATAATCTGATCAAAATTTATTATTAGGATAAAAAATATGGAGAATTGTTAAAATGATATAAATTTATTAAATATTTTATTCAAGTTAAATATAAGAAATTTCAAATGACACTAAAAAATAAAGAATTTGAAATTGTTCCGTAATTTGAATGTTAAACTATTTATTATTAATTTTCCAAAATTAGCAAAATGGTCCATATATTTTATGAAAATTAGAAATTTACCCTAAAATTTTCGAAAAATTACAAATAAATCCCTAAATAATTTTCAAAATTTACATATTGATCCCTCGAAATTTTCATAAATTGCATATTAGTCCCTATTTTCATATTTTAAGTTTGACCCAAAATTTTTAAAAATGACTCCAAAATTTTTACAATGAATCATTTTAATACTCAATTCAAATAAAAAAATTTAAAATTAAATAAATTTCAATTAAATTTTTAAAGTTATTTTAAATTTTGAATTACTTAAAAATTCTCAATTACCTCGTGCAAACACATTCTTAATTTTCTTAATTTGCATGTAACTTAATGCCCAACCCTTTATAAGTTTTAGATCAAGTAAAATTGTTAGTATAATGTTTGTTTAAATCCAAAATGAAGAATTTTCAAATTGATTTTGTTCAATGATTGAATAACAACATGATTGAAAACACAAATAAGCATTTCTTCACCACCATCCATAGATAGCTTGAGTGTAAGTGTTTTTGATCCACTTGAAACTCTTTCTTAAAGACCCTTTCATTTTCCCTTCAGCACCATATAATTTGTAACCAGCAATTCTCTTTTTCCTCTGCAGTTCAGCATCATCGAAACTCCAACTCTTTGAAGTGCTTTTTGCTCTCTTCATCTTCATCTCCTTGTTACATGTCTGGTTTGGATTATAAACATAATTAGCACTGTAACACCTCAGATCTTGCATGCTTTTTGGTGCTGCCACCTTGCCTTCAATTTGTAGCTTTTCATCTCTGCATGACTTTGATCTGAATTCCATGATGGAACAAGAATAACAAGTGAGAAATATTGAGGTTGTCTTTTAAGACAAAGCAAAGAAGGCAAAAGTTAAAAGAAATGGTTGTGATTTTGGTGTTTAATATGTTGTTTTTATTATGTTCATGGAAGGTGTAGGGTAGGGAGTTATCCAACTTTGCTTAACATGGTAGAATTGTAATGACACTTTTGAGTTTAACTAGCTTTCACTTGTTGAAGTGTTAAAATCGATTTTGGGAAGATGCCAAAAGTACAAGTACAAATTAATGGACAGACATGAAAACATTGATGTTTTAGAGAATAATGGAGAACCAACTCAACAACCCCTCATTTTTACATCTTGATATCATTCATTATTACTTGAGTGAAATATTATTTGTACTACTCATAAATCTCTCATATTCACTTTTAGTTCTTTAAATATTTTTTTTAAATAATAATTTTTCTAAAATTTTTATCTACACTTTTAATTGTCCTGCAACTTAACGACTGTTTTTTAAAACTCACTAATTGAATTAACAATGATTTTAGTATGACGAATTAAAAGTGTAGATGCAAATTTTTATAAGAGCTACAACTAAATTTAAGTTATTTATAGAGAGAAAAACATATTTAACTCCTATTAATTTTAACAATTTAAACATCAATACAATTAAAATCATTTAGCTTAAACTTTACTTTTTTTTTTAAGGGTTAAATATACTTTACCCCTTTGCAATAGTAGCGAGTTTTGATTTACCTCCTATTAAAATTTTTTTCTTTCTGCCCCTTAACAAATATAGATTCCCAAACAGAAAACCTGTACCCCAAGATTCCCTATGAGTTTCATACGTGGCATTAGATTCTTTGCTGACTGTGTTATTAAAAGCCATGCTGGAATATTTGTGTCTATTGTAAATATTTAGTCTTCTGATTAACCCCCTGGAAAATCTAAGGTTCAATATCAAACAAAATTAGCAAGCTCACCATGGGGAATAAATTAGCAGCGAAGAAGAAGAAGCACTCCAAGAAGGCGAAATATTCAAGCCAACCGAAGAAGCACGAGGAAGGAGGCGCTTCTGTTGATGCTGATAAGGTATGTTCTTTCAGCTGTTTGTCCTACATATAGTGAAATCTTAGTTTTTGAATGTTTGCCCAAATGTTTTCAAAATAAGCATCTGTTCATTGCTGTGTTCCATCATGGTGGTGAGTTTGTAATGTTGAACAATGGGGGTTACGATTTACAGAGGGGGTGTAAGTACTTTAGTTTCAGATCTCCACTTGGATCAGTTTATAATACTTAGCATCCATGGGTTGGTTACCGGTTGGGGTTACAAGCAGGGAACTTATAGAACATGGACTTTAATTCGTGAAATAGATGAAAATTATTTCTAGATTAGGAAGGATGATGACTGTTATGATTTCGCTGCATACGCGTGTGCAACCCAACTAGACGGGGAAATTTTCGTGGAGCATGATGTTACTCATATTGGAGCCTCAGTAAGTAGTCCAAGGTGTGTCAATGAGAATGTTGAGATGGAGGAATGTGATGACAATTTTGTAGAAGGGTTAGGTGATAGTGAGGATGAACGGGCCACTGCTATTTTAGATGGCTTTGAAGGGATTTATGTAACTAAACCCATTAATGAGAGCCCTTCTGTTGCTGAATTTATGAGTGGGTTCAAACAGAAAAGTTGTGAGGATGAAGAGTATGTGAGTGATGAGCTGGATAGCTCTGACCCAGATTTATCTGATAGTGATAAAGATAAAGTGCCAAAGTTTGAAAAGTTTAGGAAAGAGCATTTAAATAAGGATTTTAAATTTCAGTGGGGTATACAATTCAACTCCCTAGATGATTTTAGATATATGACAAATGTAGGCCAGGATAAGAGATTCGTGTTTATATCTGATCAACAAAAGGTATACATTTTTTGTTAATAAGTTACATGTTATGTAGGTTTTACTTTGCACTGATGTTATGCAGGTTTTACTTTGCACTGATGTTATGTATGTTTTACTTTGCACTGATGTTATGCAATGTTTCAGGGCTTGGTAGCTGTGTTTGAGGAGATGTCTCAAAGGATAGAGCATAGGTTGTGTTTAAGGCATCTTTATGCAAATTTTAAGAAAATGTTTGGAGGTGGAGCTTTGATTAGAGATCTAATGATGGGGGCTGCAAAGTCTACATACTACCAGGGATGATTATAAAAGATGAATGAGCTGAAGCTGGCAGATCACAATGCTTGGACTTGGTTGATGGGTGTTCCTCCAAAGGTTTGGTGTAAGTATGCTTTCAGTTTCTACCCTAAGTGTGATGTTCTTATGAACAATATTTATGAGTCATTTAATGCCACCATATTAAGTATTAGGGATAAACCAATTTTAATAATGTGTGAGTGAATTACGAAGTATTTAATGAATAAATGCTCTACTTCTGCCATGAAGCTTAAAAAATGGTCTCATAATTTGGTCACAATGCTCAAACATGTAAAAGTACAACACAAGATGCTAATGGACTAAAGAGAAATGTATTATTAGTGTGTATTTTGAACTGACATATCATGTATTTAGAACTAACATATCATATATTTTGAACTAACAAGTAATATGTTTAATTTTTGTAGAGGAAGGTCAAGGTAGGTACATCTGAAACTGAAACTGCAGCAAATGAAAATGAAACTGCAGCAACCACTGGTGGAACTCAGACTGCAGCATCCCATCCTGCAACTGAAACTGCAACACAAGCTGGTGGAAATCAAACTACAATATCCCATGTTGTAACTCAGACTGCAGTACCCCATGCTGCAACTCAAACTGCAACCAATAAACCAGTTGACTATTTTGGCAACATAACTGATGATTTCATTTCAAGCATTTCTGAAGTAAACACGACACAATATTCTCCTGTGGTTGGTAAACTAGACAACAAAGGCAAGATAAAATTGAAAGTGAAAGATGTCAGGCCAGTGAGAAAGAGGTCTAGTGAAAGAATAAAACTCTAGTGGTTTCAAAAACTCTAGTGGTTTTAATCAACGAATATTAAAAATGCTTTTATTTATATGTGTGCATTGTAAAAATATAGTATAACATGTTTAAAAAAAGTTAAGAATGTGTTTTACACATAAACCACTTTTATGAGTCGACACAAAGAGCTTTGCATCGACACATACTCAAGTAAATAATCATAAAAATGATCCTGCTTCAGTATGAGTCGACACATCCATGCTATGCATCGACTCATAACATGTTGATGCCACTAGAATACAATTTTTAACCTTTATGCATCGATACATAACTTCATGCATCGACACATGATATGTTGATGTCCCTGGAAAACATTTTTCAACTTGTATGCATCGATACATAACTCCATGAATCGACACATAACACATTTTATCTTCAAAAATCAAAAATTCAATTCAGTATGTGTCGATACATACGTGTTATGTATCGACTCATGTAAAATGGTTGGCTCTTAATATGCACAAATATTCCAACATGGCTTTTAATAACACAATCAACAAAGAATATAATGCCACGTATGAAACTCATAGGGAATCTTGGGGTACATGGTTTTCTGTTTGAGAATCTATATTTGTTAAGGGGCAGAAATAATATTTTTTTAATAGGGGGGTAAATCAAAACTCGCTACTATTGCAAGGGAGTAAAGTATATTTAACCCTTTTTTTAATTAGGATGATACACTACCATCTACTAAAAAACACATTTGAATGAGGGGGTTTTAAAGCCATTTTGTGGGGGTTTTTTGACCTCCGCAACGGATACAATTCCTATAATTTACATTTAGGGTTTTTGCAAACCACTAGTACTAAATATTATGAGAATTTTAAACCTCCAAAGTAGATAGAGTTTATTTTGTGATAATCTTCAACCTCTCTTTTAATATCTTATAAATAAAAAAATATTTTTGTTATAAATGACATGATTATATATGTTCATCAATCGAGAGATTTTATATTGATTTTTCATTTATTACATATGTTATATAAATACGATTCATATTGTACTTTAAACATTGACTCATAATATATATTTGTTAACCGTTATTTATAATATATTGATTAGAAAAAGAAAAAGAAAATTAATGATGATTATTAAGCATCCCTAAAGGATAACAAAAGAATATTTATATAAACTCCTGAAGAACTTATCAAGCATCCGTGAAGTATAACAAAATAAAAGTATATAATTCCTGAAGAACTTATAAAACATCTCTCAAATATAATATTAACAATCCCAGAAGGATTGCATCTATAATATTAATAAATCTCAAAAGGATTACATCTATAATATTAATATTAATGAATCCCAAAAGAATTGCATCTATAATATTAATGAATTCTAGAAGAATTGCATAAATTATTTTAAAAATTAGCAAAATTATTGCATCAATAATATCATCCAATTTAAGAAAGATTGAAAGAATAGTATTGAATACTAAGAATTTCATAAATAATTTTTTTGTTATATCGATCTAAAAATTTGTAATATGTTCATAAAATGATGGTTATATTTGTTAGATCATTGTTTATAACAAATATTTTTAACGCGAAGTATGATTATATTTTTTTAGATGATTATTTATAACAAATAATTTTAACGCATCCCAGATGGATGATTATTATTATTATCTTTATATCATCATTTATAAACTAATAATTTTAATGCATTCTAGAAAGTTGATTATATTTATTTTAGATTATTATTTATAAATATTTATATTATTCTAAATTTTCTCTCTCTTACATTTCACCGTGTTAGAAACTTCTTCATATTGTTAGAATATAATTTATTACATGTTTGAGATTATAAATCTATATTTCCTGAAGAAAAAAAAAATACAACATCCCTGAAGAATTATTCAAAGAATATATTTTTTTTCATCATTTGTTTTATCGTTCACTAAGAACTATATATTTCACTAAAAGATTGACTATATAATATATATTTTTATAGTCTTTGAAGATTGAGTCATTGTCTATGTGTTTGGTGTTAAAATATTTT